AACACAACTCATTTTGATTGGATTTGCATAAATCCATCTGTAATAATAGAGAATGTATTTAGGCATCGTCTATATCAGTGATCCCCAACCTTTCTTATGCCGCGGCCCGGTATCCCCAACCTTTTTTATGGCGCGGCCCGGTACCGGCATTAACTGGGCGCCGCCATCTTTTTTTGATGAAAAAGTGCTTCCGGTGACCTCACCGGAAGCACTTTTTCATCAAAAAAAAGATGGCGGCGCCCAGCAAACCAGCGGCCCGGTAGGACTTGTTCCACGGCCCGGTACCGGTCCGTGGACCGGTGGTTGGGGACCCCTGGTCTATATGACACCTATTCAGATATTTGAAGAGCACTCGTATAAGGTATCACCCTTTCAATAATGTCTTCTCAAAATTAAGCATGCTTAGCAATCTTTATTGTTCTTCACAGAGCTTGGCCTCTGGGCCTATGAATAAACGAAACTAAGCTGTTGCCCTTTCTCTAATCTAATCTAATAATGTATTGTTCTCCTGAATTCTTAAAGGGAACCAAACACCATATATCAAAAGTGAACATACTGTATTTGAAGGGGTCTCTGATCAATCCAAAATAAAATAGAACAAGTCCTGTTGTTTAGAAATTATACTGTATAGTACTCTGTTTATATAAACTACAACTGTGCTTGTCTTTTTCAAAGCCCATCAAGCAGTCAATTCTTCTCTATATTCTAAATAGCCACAGCCCCATGTGCCTAAACAGACTCCAATCAATCACTCATTATTATTCAAATAATATAAATTAAATCAGCACATTTATGTGCATATTTTTAAAATCCAAGTACTGAGCATAAGCCTTATATCTGTAGCTAGGATTTGCTCATCATGACCTTTTACCTATAAAATCGGTGGGTAAACAGTAGGTAAGCATTGCCAGAGTGGCTTGCCAAAATTTAGTAGTAAAGCCACCTAATTTAAAGTAGTATATTCTGTTCCAACAATCCAACTCAGAGGAAAATATCAATATCACAAACCCTGCAGCCTAAAACTCCAAAATGTAAACAAAAAATGCACTCCCTAACCACAAAGAGATTGTTTAACCTGCAGCAAAATGTACCTCTTGTTTTTACTGCTGTGGTTTAAAGGAAGCTGCTAAAAAAAAAATTTCTTCACAAAGTCACACACAATACTGAATTTTTGCTTGTAATCTCGAATTCATTGAAGTATATATTACTGTCCGGAATAAAGACCAAAACACGAACTGCTTTGGCTGTCATTTTGGGTATCAGGAAGCCTAGTGTCCCTTGGCATTCCTAGATCTGGCTGTAATTGAGGATCAAAATTTCTGAGATGTTGCCCCAGAACTGCACCTCCAGAAGTCAGGCTGTATGATCCAAGTCTTACTTAAGCCCAGGATTGGGGTCACACGAAACAGATTGGCCCTATGCTGCAGCCAGTTTCCTAAGTAGAAATCAGTATAGAACGACAAGAATTTGCTCAAGTCTGGAAAAAGCCAGGGTGAGAGAGTGATCTGCCAAGCTTCCTGCCCTGCTTTCAGGACAGAGGTCTGTTGAAAGTATGAACAGAAAAGAGTTAACTGAAGAAAGAAAGTGGCACCATTCCAGGTTTGATTGTTGGAGGCCAACAAGTTTGCAGAAAACTGCAACTCTTGACTTCTGTAAAAAATTATTTAGATTCAATATTCTCCTGGAGATAACCATATCGTGCTTTCATTTCCCCTCGGCCTTCACTTGGGGCCGCCTGCCTGTTCCACAGATACCTGACCTTGTAGCCAACTCATAACTCCATAGATAAGAAAATGACTTATCACTTATCAGCCCATCCAATAGATGTCAAGGGTCTCTCACAATGACAAAGCTTTTTAAGTAGACCCAAGGATTTATGAGGGATAGGTGGGAACATACTGAGCTCTTTGAAAAAGGACAAGTATATGAAGATTTGGTTTTAATTGTCTCTTGTTATTAGAGACAGCCACAGAAATACTAAGTCCAGATCTCTGATTTTTCAGACTGAACTACATGAAGAAACTGTGGCAGCAGATGATGAAGGCAGCAGGAAGGACCTGGGTACTTGGTTCAAGTTATGTCTATTTTTAATTTATTAGATGTTTTTATCCCAGTTTATTATATTTATAAATAACTTGAGGTGGCAAACATATCTAATATTCCTTCTTCCTTCTATTTTTCCCACAACAACAACTCTATGAGGTGAGTTAGCCTGAGAGAGTGACTTGCCGAAAATCACCCAGTTGACTTTCACACATAAGGTAGGACTAGAATTCACAGTCTCCCAGGTTCTAGCCTAGTCCCTTCACAAGACCAACCTGGCTTTCTTTATTAAAACTAAGCAAAAATTAGTGCCCCTCGCTCCAGCTCTTCTCTAAAAATGACTTAAGTCATAGGATAGAGATGAGAACAAACTAGCAAAAAGACAAAATTCTCAGCCTCTCAGAGCAAAAAAAGAGGTTCTTTCAATGGTTCTCATTATTGCCAGTGATTGACAGGTTAAGCTTGATACTTGGTTGAAAGCTTTTTTTTTTAAAGGAACAGTGTATAAATTTGAAACATGCATTGTGTTAATAATCACACTGGATTGTGCAAAGTAGAGGTTAGACTAAAAGGATTGAAATGCTTATGGTGCAGAATGTTGGGGAGATCCAGCCATTGGATTTTCAGTCCCAATATGCAAGATGGAGTCTATTTCAAAACAAAGGCCCATAGGAATTTATTGCAAATTATTTTTGCTTCAAACAACTACAAATAAATGAAATAAATTTTAGGTCAAATTCAAGCACGTTAGCCAGATATAATACTGAAAGATTGGGGGTGGGGGAGAGAGAATCACTCCTTTCTTACTCAGAAAATATAGGAAAAGGAATGGCAGAACTTGGGGGCAGAGTTAAAAGAGGGATCTGCCTAGAATTCCTACGTAGCTGCAAGCGGACTAAGCTAACTGTCCCCTTCCCTTGAATTCCATGGGCTCCAAGCAGTTGCTAAACAGCTATTTGAGAAGATTCCTGTGCATAGGCTGTCTAGCAATAAATTGATTTAATTGAACCTTCACATCTGGACCCGATCTTTCATGCCTGACAGAACTGAACTTTTTTCAGTATTCAGTGGAGCTTATTCCTAAGAAAGCATCCATAGAATTATAAAATACACACATAAAATTGGTTTTCATTTTTATAATAATTTATATACCTTATATTGTTCAAGCTACATTTATTGAAATGATAAAATTATCTTAATAACAATAAAATCCAAAGAGGGTGCTTTGTATTACAGGTACTCCTTGTTCAGTGACTACCTCATACAATGACCATTCACAGTTATGACTGTGTTTATCTGCAGTTTTTACTTTTGCTTTACAAACTGTGAAGGTCATAAATGCAAGGATTGGTTGCAAAGTTACTTTTCCATCACCATCATAACTATGATTGGCCACTATATGAGGCAGTTGCTACATGAAAGTTACTTGTACTTTTTCCATTCTTTTTCCCTTGAAAATACCACTTTTCTCTGGAGGATTTTTTTGTCTTATTTTGTTTGGTTTGGGCTTTTTTGCAAATCACTGGCCAAATGTAGACAATTGATGGAATCATATTGCCAGATCCGTGTATCTGCCATTCTTCAGTGGAAGAAGAAGAGGGGGGGTTGATACAAGTAATCTTTTTTTATGTAACCTGAATATTTGAATTCTTGTATTGAATCTGTATAACTTGCACATGATATACAACTGGGGACTGGAGCCTGGATGCCTGGAAACTTGTCACCTCTTGGAGAGATAGCAAGAGGAGAAGGGGCCATAAAAATTCCAGCTCTGGAAGATACCCCAGGGAAGCTCATCTCAACTACGTTCCCAGAAAAAAAGGGGTGGGGGAATTAACATGTTACTTCTTTGTATTGGCGAAATCCAAGGGGAGGGGTTCTAACTCCCTTTATCTAAGCTGCATGCCTGGAGGCATATTATACACTGCTTTGAACATCACCTGGATCTTTTTCCTTTTCAATAAAGAATTCCTTTTGAAATACCCAGTTTTCAAAACGTCATTCTTATCATCATCTGAAGGGGAGAGAGTCTGGGCCTTACATATATAACATACTGTATAAGCAGCCATTTAAGCCATCAGAGTCATTCCCCTGCTTACTGCATGGAGCTAATTGAAAGAAATAATGAGAAGAGCTCCGGAACCTCTGCTTGAACATGTTCATTGAAGGTCATTCATCACCTCTCCTTAATTGAATTTCACAGTTGAACTGCTCTGCCTCAGACTGGTAGGGAATTTTTCATTGTAGGCTCTGCCTTCCTTTAAGTTAAACATATGTGCACAGATAGGTGAATATTGAGAGGGTTGGAGGAAACTGCTAGCAGGTGGTGGTAAACAGAAAACCTCCTTTATTTAAACATTCTGATCACCCACCTTGACATCTAATTAAAAAACAATCTTGAGATACATCCAAATGTCAGGTGTGATCCAGACACTTGTTGGCAACTTTAGTCAGTTCTACTGTCTGTGCTTGGCTGGGTATTCTTATGCATGGCTCCCTGCATACACAGCAGATGTGAAAATCTACTTCCATTCATGGGTCCCCCATCCATTACTGGATGCTTCTCCCGCGTGTCAGATGTTTGCTCTGTCATTTCTCTATTGTCAGAATAGATACACTAACCCATGTCAAGCCAAAGTCCAATCGGTTTATACCATTTTTTTCTTTCAGATTTCTAATCCTGGATTTATTCTAATTCTAATTTATTTCATTACCAATAAGATAATGAATTAAAACCATTCTTTATGCAAGGTTGCCGCTGGTGAGAGGATATGGCAGTTCCATAGAACAATTATAAAATTAAAAACCAAAAACCAAGCATGTTTTGACAAGTGGTCCAGGGGAAACAACAATCCTATCCCTTGAGCTTTCTCTAAATTCTTCATGAAGCAGAGCAAAGCAATCATTTGTGTTCCTCAGAGCAGAACAAACCAATCTTTGC